GAGCGGCAAGTGCGGTTCACCTGTTTTCGTTGCCTGTTCACACATGTGTGCCTTACGCGGCCGCAAGCCCACCGTCGCCCAAATTTACGCACCCATTGATAAAAATATCTCTGTCTCACGACAAACCCTTGATCGGCTCATTCGCACACATTTTTGTGTGTGTGTGTGTCTGTGTGTAGAGCTCGAAATTCAGAAATGCCAAAAAATGTAAATTTGGTCAAATTTGCATCGGGCAGGCAGGCAGGCAACCAACACGCACACAAACGCATAAATGCTTCCATCCATATAGAAAAGTGTGTAAGTATGTGTGCTTGGCAGGCCCAAAAAGTTATTATGCACACATGCCAACGTTCAGGTACCCTTACCCTTACAACATGCATGGAAAATAGGAGTTTTGCACATGAACAGGCCAAACTCTTTAATAATGTCACCCAACTGCATACTCGAAAGAGTGTGCGTGTGCACAAGTAGCAAGTCGAAAAAATTGAACATTTTCAATGTTTGGTCTTTTCTTAAATTATTCGACAAGCCGACGAAGAATTACCCTTGCAGGAATACGACTTAGTTTTTTTTTAATTTTAAGCAAAATTGGTCCCCACAGTTAACAAAAAAATTAAAATATAATATATAAATATATCATTTAGGTCATTTAAGTTTTTAATGAATATAAATATATCAGATTCTTCTCATTATGCCTGACTGGACGAAGAAATACATGATAGAGCATTTGAATGTGTGTGCCTTTTGCCACCACAGGCACAAAGGGCACACAATTGAAGAAAAAATCTCTGGCTCGCGACAAACGCCGCGATCTACTTGTGCGCACATCCACACAACACAAACATATGTATGTTTGTAGATCTCGCATCGAGTGAGCCACATGGGTGCCCGCGACTATTTTAGTGTGCCCAGATAGAGTAATAGCCTTTCTCCACTGGGCTTAAAAATGTCACATTTTCAAGTTTTACATATTGGTGTTCCACCGGCTTTCGGTAACATGTGAGTGGCAAAAGTACTGTTTCTTTAAATAAACAGCTGATCGAGTTGCTTTAATTTACATAAGCGACGCACAGATTTCCTTCCAAAAGTCAAATAATACGGCCCCGAAGTAGGGGCTCTGTTTAATTGACTCTTTGCGAGATTTGGCCAACTTTAAATGTTAAAAACGGTGGGATTATTCAAATTTAAAATTATAATTTAAAGTTACCGCTTGCCTTCGTTGCAATATCAGCTGGTTTATGTTTACATTTTTCACAACATCGATAGAAATCTCGACTAATCATCGCAAAATACACGAAAAGTTCGGGGCGAATTTACACATTTTTAAAAAATGTGACATTTTTAAAAATGTGTGAAATGTGTTTTCTTATGGGGAAACGTACAGGCCGCATTTTACACATCTTGCAAAAATGTGACATTTTCAGAAATGTGTTCAGTGGGCAGAGGCTATAAGACTGCTGAGAGTGGCAGTTTGACATATTTTTGCATTGTATAGTAAGTGATCCTATGTTAATGCAAAGAACAAGCTGGCAATATTAAATTTCATACTGTGAAATGCAGGCAATATTTCAACCTATATATGTATGTATATTAATTTGTCCTATCATGGCCTCAAATACTCGGTAGTTTAACATATAGACCACGAATTATCAATCATTTTGCTGTTTACATCAAGAAAATCGTCCAGCCAGTTTTTGAGAAATTCTCATTTTTCTTTCTTCTCATTATACCCTATGTTATTTAAAAAAAAAATGGCTGGCAATATTTACTTAATATTTTTATTCAATAAAATGGTGTAAATATTTCTACATATTTCTTTCTGTATATATTAATTTCTTCTGTAATGGCCCCAAATGCACTGTAGTTTAGCATATAGACCGCGAATTATCAATCATTTGATTTAATTGTAAACACGTCGTCCGTTTGTTTACAATAATCTGCGTGGTGATGTTACATATGACTTTATTAGCAGCGTCGTTAGTTTGGCTAGCTGGTTGCGTTCTTTGTTATCGTCCACGCCGATATCTTTTTGTCGTATGAGCAGAGTAGCGGGGGTGAAACCAGGCACACAGCGGCGTCCAATAAATTGAAAAGTGACAACGCCCGGCTTGCGATCCGCTGCGCTGGGAGGGGTAACGCCATTGAGCGATCATAATTGGGCAACCGATTCGCTCATAGAGAGATTAGGAGGAGAGCGGATCGGATGCCCTTGCTAATGCCCTTGGCCTACAACTGGGCCGTTGACCCAAGAGTGCAGCTGTGCAGATGGGCAGCAACGGTGCCCGTCTCGTACATGTATGCGTGTTCCGAAATTCGGCACCGATGATAATGTTGCTGCCCAAATGTACAGCAGGGAGTTCGATTTGGTCAGCGGTTAGCGGCAGGCGTGGTGTGCGCAAGTGCACCTTTCAAAATAACTTTTCAAGAAAAAATAAAATATCATTGTTATGCCGAAAAAAATAAAACTGTCTTTTTTTAATTAACTGTGCCTAATAAAAATTATAAAATTAAATCACATATAATTAAATAACGCCACGCAATATAAAAAAAATATATCTACATATATTATAAAATATATCGAGCAGCGCAAAACTTTAATTTTTTTTTAAATTGTCGGGCCGCACAAAAAAATCTTAGGCTGTGATAAAAAAAATAAGAAGAAACTTTAAATTAAACTCTTTAGGTAGAGTAAGGTAATATTAAGCGACTTAGACAACCTTTATAATCTTAGCATACTTGTTTTTTTTATGGATTATATGTATATTTCGGCGTGAGTCTTGTTTACGTGCGTCGCCCAATCAATTATTACATATCATGTGATGCGGGGTCACAATTACAAGGGCAGTAGACATACCACCTAACATACGCGAATGCAAAATGGAACTATTATATTATTGACTTTTAGCACTGTTCAGATGTCAAACCAATGGAGTTATTATATTATTAATTGTTATTATCATCATGGTAAACTAATGGAATTTTAATCTTATTATTAAGCTAAGGGAACATATCGAAGTCTAAAATAGATTAAAACCAATCATTTAAGAGAATAAGAGAGGAGGATTTAAGTTAAGGGAGACCGATTACGAACTCTGACTCCTTAAAATGTAAACGGGAGGAGCGGAGGAGCGAGTAGGCTTAAGTAGATAGTTTTCGCCGCACGGCGTAAAGGGCGAAAAGGGTCGTAAGACGGCGAGGTTGATCAGCAGGTTCACTTTTGATTTGGCAAGAGTGGGTATTGGACGTATGGACGCAACGACGAAAAGACATAGAAAACGAATCGCGAAGTGACCGCGAGGTTAGGAATATTTAGTCAAGAATTGACGGTGCAGTAGGGCCAGTGTTCTTGATTAAATAAACGGGAGCTAATACAATTGAAGTGCTTTGTGTTCTTTATTTTTGTTGTATTCTTTGTCGGGTAAGAATCACTTAGTTTCAGCAACTTTTCACTTAGCAGCGGAACGATCCCAGCAGCACCAATCACGCTGATCAACCCTAACCCTAGCCGCGACGGAGAGATCACAGCGATCCCTGCAACTCCCTACCCCCCTTTTCGGCATCGCGTCTCGGCAAACTACAAATGTCTTGTAGAGTGGATCCGAATTGAGTTTTACCACCCCGGCTAAAAACGCTACTTTACAATAATTTCTCCATGTGGTGTTTCAGCGGCGGCCAGCAAGGGTTTGTGAGGATTTTCTCGACTTGTAGGCTAATTTGTTAATTTGCATGAAATTATATAACGAAGGAGATGTTCTGCAATGAAATAATATATAATATGAGCTGTCAATAATTATAAGAATATGCAAGTATTATACGTGCCTGATGAAGTAGAAAATTGTGAATTGCTGAGGGGAGATATTCTGCAAAAAGAAAGGCAATAAGAAATAATATTAATTGTTAATAATTTTAAGGAAATGCAACCATTTATACGCACATACTGAGAGAAAAGAATGTCCGGCTAAGTTTAAATTGATGGGGAGAGGGGGCATGACAGCCGGCACGGGCAGATGCGGGCCATCTAGTGGCCCAAATGAGGGAGACGAGATCAGGTGATCGTCTCAGGTAGGGCGGGTACGCTGGGTCTGGAACCGGGACCGGATCTGGAGAAGTCTATGAAGTCGGGGCGGAAATCAAAAAAATAAATAAAAATATCAATGCAGGTACAAAGAAAAGTTTCCCAGGCTTTAAGATTTACCGTTCCAAGTAGGCCCTTATACCAGTTTCGGGTCATGCCATTTGGTCCATGCAATGCAGCCCAACGTCTAGTTTGTCTGATGGACAAGGTGATTCTCACCGAGCTAAGGTCCAACGTCTTTGTGTATTTGGACGATCTACTAGTTATTTCCCCAGATTTTCAAACGCACTTAAGATATATGCGACAAGTGGGCAAATGCTTAAGAGAAGCGAACCTCTCCTCCGGACTGCACAAGTCCAAATTTTGCTTTAAGGCAATAAAATACCTAGGATTCATTATTGGGGGTGGAATGCTTCGTATGGACCCCGAATGGGTTATAGCTATTAAACGGACCCCCGTGCCTCTGTCGCGCAAATAAGTTCGATCTTTTTTGGGTACGGCAGGTTGGTACCGGCGCTTTATGCTAGATTTCGCGACCATGGCCGCAACACTGACTGAAATGTTAAAAAAAGATTGCGGAAAGTTTGTATTGAGTGACGAGGCAACACATGCCGTTGAACAGTTGAAGACCGCCCTGACCACGGCCCCAGTGCTCGTGCACGCGGATTTTTCCAATCCCTTCTTTGTACAGTGCGATGCGTCTCAGTTTGGCGTGGGAGCGGTGTTGTTCCAAAAAGACACCGATGGGCAGGAGCGACCCATAGCCTTCTTTCCAGCCAAGTTGAACAAACACCAACGGGACTATTCCGTCACTGAAAAGGAGTGCTTAGCGTCGATACTGGCCATAAAAAAGTTCAGACCGTATATAGAAGGGATGCCTTTCACTTGCATCACTGACCACGCCAGCTAAAAATGGCTGATGCCCATGAAAGACCTAAGCGGGAGACTAGCTCGTTGGCCAGTGCAGTTGCAAGGCTATGACTATACCACCGAGCACCGTAAAGGCAATGAAAACGTGGTAGCTGACACTCTATCGCGCAGTGCCGAAGCAGTGACCAAGGTTCCGGAAGGTCTTCTCGAATTTGAGACCCCCGAGTTCGAGTCGGCGGAATACCAGGCGTTGCTCGAACAGGTAAGTTCGAATCAGGACAACTTGCCAGACCTGAAGATTGAGGGGGTTTGCTTTTAAAGTGCATGGGGTTCGTCCACTTGGAAGACGAGTTAGAACGCACCGTGTGGAAGTTTTGAAGCTCGTTGAAAGCCGGCTTAATAGCACAGGCTCATGTAGATGAGACGGCTGGTCATGGGGGTGTCGTGAAAACACTGGAGACATTGCGTAGGCAGTTTTACAGGCCCGGCATGGCTAGTCAGATAAGGGATTGGGTAAGGCAGTGCGTGACATCCAAGGAAACCAAGGCACCGAATTTCCGCATGCAAGTGGGTCTAGGACAAGAGGTAGTGACCGAGCGACCATTCCAAAAACTGTATATTGACTTTCTGGGAAAGTACCCACGTTTGAAGCAAGGGCATGCTTGGATCTTCGTGGTAGTCGACCATTTTTCAAAATTCTCTTTCTTAAAAGCGATGCGAGAGACTGCGGCTCTTAACGTAGTGGACTTTTTGGTTAGCGAAGTTTTCTATAAGATTGGAGAACCCGAGGTCATTCACTCTGACAACGGACGACAGTTCATATCGGGTGCTTTCCAAAACATGATCTCGGCTTTCGGCATCTCGCTTATGCGCACTGCAGTCTACGCGCCACAGAGCAATGCAAGCGATCGAGTGAATCGTACTGTGATGTCGGCGATCCGGGCGTATCTAGAGCAAGATCACCGCGAGTGGGACCTCTACCTTCCAGAAATGGAAGTGTCCATACGAAATGCCATACACACAGCGACAGGGGTGACTCCATTCTTTACCGTTATCGGAAATAATATGTTCCTAAACGGGGCATGCTACAAATTTGCTCGTAGGTTAGGGTCTCTGGGTGATCATGAGATTTCTCATTTGCACCCAGTAGACAAAATACACCTGATTAGACAGCGAGTCCAAAGCCAGCTACATCAGGCTTACGAAAGAAGTCATCGGCAGTACAACGCTCGAGCCCGAGTGTTCCAGGCGGAACCCGGCCAAGAAGTCTACCGACCCAATTTTGTACTGAGCGGTTTTGGGAAAGTTTTTAACGCCAAATTTGCAAGGAAGTTCCTAAAGGCCCGAGTAGTGCGTCGAGTAGGCAACAACTCGTTCTTGCTGGAAGATTTGCAAGGGAAGCCCCTAGGCGTGTTTCATGCCAAAGATATACGGGTATATAACAAGGTCGTGGTGTGCCTCACGTTGGGCGCGGCTCAGCTTAAGGAAAGGGGTGTTTCCTACGTTGGGCATTCTAATTAGCCGGGATTATAATTAGCGAACAAATATGGAAAATCGTCCGTTTGCTTACAATAATCTGCGTGGTGATGTTGCATTTGAACAAAAAAATAATTATCGGACCAAAGCCAACATAGTCAAGGTCCAAGCTCACTTCGACGGCGCTGGCCAGTGGATACATTTTCCAGGCCGAGGGAGCGCGCAAGCCATCCAAAGGCAGGAAGGGAGGAGACGCCAAAGGCGAGCTGCAGCGGGCGAGACGACGACGACCAAAATTGGCCCAGAGACGGCGTGCTGCTGACATCAAACTGCAGATTTTTTGAATAAATTGAATCCTATTTCTCGCTTTGCGTATTTCTCCTGATAAAACTAGCAGTTAATCTTGTAACGGGAGGGAACGTCCCCAAACACCATTGCGTCTGCCGACCGCAGTACCAAAATGTACTATAAAAAAACAAAACTAGCAGAGCGCAGACTGAAATTTCGCACACTTGCATAAATATATATATATATATATATATATATATATACCAGCCCTAAAAGAAAAGGAAGAAAGAGGGAATAGAGTTAAAAAAAAATATATTTATATGTATATGCATAAAACGTATCATCCCTTATCTCACCCAGGGAGCTCTTTAGGTAGAGTTAGGTAATATTAAGCGACTTAGATAACCTTTATAATCTTAGCATACTTATTTTTTAGATGGATTATATGTATATTTCAGCGTGAGTCGTGTTTACGTCCGTCGCCCAATCAATTATGTTATATCATTTCTCCATGTGGTGTTTCAGCGGCGGTCAGCAAGGGTTCGTGGGGATTTTCTCGACTTGTAGGCTAATTTGTTCATTTGCATAAAATTATATGAAGACGGAGATGTTCTGCAATGAGATAAGAGATAATGAAATAATAAATAATATGAGCTGTCAATAATTATAAGAATATGCAAGTATTATACATGCTTGGTGAAGTAGAAAAGGAATGTCCGCGTGCATGACATTGTGAATTTCTAAGGGGAGGTATTCTGTTAAGAGAAAGGCAATAAGAAATAATATTAATTGTTAATAATTTTAAGGAAATGCAACCAACTTTACGCACATATTGAGAGAAAAGAATGTCCGGCTAAGATTCAATTAATGGGGAGAGGGGGCATGACAGCCGACACGGGCTGATGCGGGTGATCGTCTCAGGTAGGGCGGGTACGCTGGGACCTGATCTGGAAGAGTAAAGTGGATTAATAGTGGTTTTTTTTTGTTAATTTATATTGGGCGCCTCACCTTTGTTGTTTACATTTCTTGTTGTTACAGCTGTTAGTGTTGTTCATTTGTTAATAGTTCCGACTGTTTGATGTTATCGATTTTGTGGTTCGTTTTGGATAGTGTTGTGTAGGTCTGTTTTGCTACAGACGTTGTAGCTTTTGTTGATATCGCTTGTGCGTATTGTGATGGATGGGACTACGCGCAGAGAACCGATGAGCCAGCTGGCGCGGCCCAAAGAGAAACAAGCAGTTCCATAACAGCTTCTTACATCAAGAAAATCGTCCACCCGGTTTTTAAGAAATTCTCATTATTTTTTTTTTTTATTATACCCCTTGTTATTTCAAAAAAAACTAGCTGGCAATATTTACTTAACATTCTCATACATTAAAATGGTGGCAATATTTTAACATATGTCTACCTTTATACAAAATTTCTCCTGTAATGGCGGCAAATGGACGGAAGTTTTACATATAGACCGCGAATTATCAATCATTTTGCTTTTTCATAAAGAAAATCCTCCACCCTGTTTTTGAGCAATAGTCATTTTCTATTTTTCTCGTTATACCCTATGTTACTGCAAAAAAAAAACTAGCTGGCAATATTTATTTAACATTTTCATACATTAAAATGGTGGCAATATTTCAACATATGTTAACCTATATATATTAATTTCTCCTATAATGGCCACAAATGCACGGTATCTGCACATATAGACCGCGAACTATCAATCATTTTGCTTTTACATCAAGAAAAACGCCCAGCCAGTTCTTAAGAATTTGTCATTTTTATATTTTTCTCTTTATACCCTATGTTATTTGTTACGGGCAGCAATACAATTAAAAAACAAGTAAGAGGTTCTAGTCGGGAGCTCCCGACTAGGAGATACCCTGAACCCTCTTCTTCCAACGCCAAGTGCTCTTGATAGAATTCAAAGTAGACGCGCATGAATGTGTGTGTGTACATGTATACAGAAGTTCATGGAATTTGCGCTAGCTGCTGCTAACACGTGCGCACATAACTTTTGTGTTTCTTAACCGATCTTTATGAAATTTTCGACTGTACATCTTATTGTAGAATAGAATATAGAATATTTGTGTATTCTCAAAAAGTCAATTGCATATAAACTGTGGCTACTTGATATATCCATACTATTCTAGAAGCTACATGTCAAGTTTGGTGACTCTAGCTCATATTATTTACCAAAATTGCTCAAAAAAACAGGATTTCGATATCGATTTGTATCGATTACTTGGAAACGGGGCAAGTTATCGAATATCGGAAACAAACTCGATCTGCGCGGGCATTAGGAGGACCTACAGCTAAAACTTACGTACCAGTCAGCACCGGTCATTCGGCGCAAAGCCAAGTTTCGGAGTGTCTGTATCAGTCTTCGATTTGTCCGAGATACAATGCCCTAAACCTGGATACCGTACCTCCAAGTCGGTGCCACCACGACGTTGTAAACTGTCCGTTTGCAGCGAAGTGGCAATGGGATGTTGGGGTTTAGTAGCCAGTTGGCCTTGGCTATCTTATAGCGGCACTGCTTGAGAAGGCCGTCGATGGGCACCCGAAAGCTAAGCCTCTTATCCAGCACAATTCCAAGATACTTGGCACTTCTGCCATGGTGAAGGGGGCTGCCATCTATCCAGACTCCCTGAGCCTTGCCACGCCTCAGTGTGTAGTTGACCGCCTAGCACTTCGATGCATTGAGCTTGATGTTCCAACTGCGTGCCCAGCTCTCAATCAAGGGGATGTATATCTGGACACCGTCAGTGGCTTCGTACTCGCAGTGGGCGGAGTAAAATATTGCCACGTCATCGCCAAATGTGGCCATCAGGTATTTTCCTGGGGTGGCAAACTCGTGTATGTCATCCGGAATGGGGATGTCTGCCGTGTACAAATTGTAGAGAAAGGGGCCCAGTACGCTGCCTTGAGGGGCACCCGCCTTCATTTTGCGCACAGGAGAGATTGGTGCTCTAACTTTGACTTCGAAATTTCGCTCCAGTAGATAAGAGCGCAGAAGTAGAAAGAAGGGCGCGGGAAGACTTATCTTGATTTTCTGGAGCAATCCATCAATCCAGACTCGGTCGAAGGCCTGCTTAACGTCTACAAAGACTCCATAACAGTAGTGTTTGTCGTCGTATGCCTTAAGAATATGGTTAATCACTCTGTGAACCTGTTCAACAGCGCCATGCTCTTCCTTGAACCCAAATTGGTGATCTGAAAAGATGGTTATGTGATCCATAAGCGTTCTAAGTCGGGCGACAATCAGTCTTTCCCAGACCTTCGACAAGGAAGGCAGCAGATTGATCGGCCGATATCACTCAGGGTCATATTCCGGATTGCCCGACTTATGGATCATGTGGATCCTCGCTAACTTCCACTAGGCAGGGAAGTGTTGCGTCCTAAATATGGCGATGAAGATCAACGTTACTAAAGGAGCGCGGACATTGGTAGGGCCTTCAGAGTGCTGTGGCATATTCCATCATGGCCCTGGGAAGGACTTTGACGACGTTGATCACCTCCTCCACGCGAATGGGGCCGATAGGTGGTGACATCTGAAGCGGAGTCTCCAATGCTCTGGTAGTCTCCTCGAGCTCTTCTGGGGAGGCCAGATCGAAAGGTGTAAACCGTTCCTCCTGGTGGCTGGCGAAGGTATCAGCTTGCTCTTCGTCTGTAAGGCAGTATTTACCATTGTGGCGAAGAAGGGGAGCGGTTCTCCAGGGTTGGCGCTTCAGGTTTTTAGTTGCTCGCCAGAGCTAGTATCCTGAGTCATGTGTATAGTCCATGCTCTCCAACCTTCTAGAGAAGGATGGGTCTTTGTGTCTGCGAAGGTCCTCCTTGAGTTGCCGCTCCGCTCCTCGCAACTGCGCCTTGTCCCACGGATGCTGTGCAATCTGGAACCTGCGTCTGCACCGCCTCTTAATCCTGAGCAGGTTGGCTATGTCTGCGGGCAGTCCGTTACCAGCACTATCCAGCCGCCTGGCAACTGGTGGAGAAGTGGCTTCGGCTGCTGCTGCGCGAATCTTTGCGTTGAGCATCTCAATGGCATTATCTACATCCCGTCCAATGCAGATTTCGGTGTTGAGGTGAATACTTTCACTCATTTGTCTCTGGAAGACACCGAGATCAGTGCGTGCGTTGATCAGCCTTGGTATTGCGCTGACCACCTTGACCCTGCTTTCCAGGGTAACTATCAGGGCCAGGTGGCCGCTCGGGTGATCCCAATCGTCAGCGATTGAGAGGAGCTGGTCAGGGATCCCCTGGTAGATGGCGAAGTCTATTCAAGACGAAGTGCCTCTGCTACCGTACGGGTATCTTGTGGGAGAACCTGTGGCCAGTACCTTCGCTTGACGATGCGCTAGACTGCTAGCTAGTTGGAGGCCGCGCGCCTTTCTGTTATTTGCGCTCAGCCAGTGATGTGCATTCCAGTCGCCTTCCACTAGATATCTGCTTCCAACCAAGTTGACGTTGAAGTTATCAGTCGACTTCTGCTCATTTGGCTTGCAATAGACTGCTCCAAAGTCCACGTTACCAGCATCAGTGGAGACTTTCACAGTCGAATATTGGTAATACTCAATTGCGGGAAGTGAACCAAGTTACTCCGGACTAGAACAGCGCAGCCGCCACTAGCTGAGCGATTTTGAGTCCAGTGTAGAGGGTATGCTTCGAAGCCAAAGATTCTGGGAAAATAGGCACAGTTTCTGACAGCAGAATTATTCCGATGGTGTGTTTTTGTACTAGGGCCTCCAGCTCTAGTACTTTAC